TTAATATTTTTTTTTTGGGGGGGGGGGTTGTTTATTTATTTTCTAATTATTTGATTGTTTTTCTGTCTGTTATCACCTGAATTGGACTGGGTGGTTAGAAAAACAAAGTTTTATGATTTACTGTAAACTAGAAACTTAACATTTTAACACTTTTGCTAAAATACCAATATTTTTCAATTTAAAGAAGCGCACTTTTGGCATTCAGGCATTCAGTTTCTTTTGTATTTCAACTTAGTAAATGGAACATTGTGAAACCTAAAAGTAAAGTAAAAAAAGAAACTTGTCTGCTCTCTTCAGGGAGGATGGTTTCAGTAAAGAGAACGGTGCTCGACCGGGCGCTGCCAAGGTGATGGTGGTCGTCACTGATGGAGAGTCTCATGACAGCAGTATCAGAGAGCAGGTCATTGCAGACTGTAATAAACAAGGCATCACCCGCTTTAGTATTGCTGTAAGTGAGGACCCTCCATTTTAACAGCTCATTAACTCTCATCATACTATACTGTATATAAAGTAGTCATAGTGGTGTTTTATTTAATAGTAAAGCCTACAACCATAATTAAATAAATATTAATAAATTAGTTAAGGGAAGCCTGAATATTTGGGCCCAATGGCTTTGAATTCCACTGTGGGGTTTGATCAAGGCATGTTCAAAATACATGTTGTTTATCATTGACACTAATCCTTTTACATTTAACCTTCTGTTACACAGATCTTTTGTCTTGGTATGCAAAAAAAATGTATCTAAAAATAAGAGATGCAGCTAGAAATATTATGTCATTTTAATCTTGGATGGCATCTGTCTACAAGCAATTGTAAAGCATAGATTTGTTGCTTTTATAGCTATCGGTGTCATTCTAAAGTGATTTTAGATTTAATGCCTTCTGATTGTATCTGCTGAATTGTTAAGCTTCTGAGATATATATATATATAGAGGCCTCTTTGTCACCCTCAAATGTTTTGGTGTGCTCTTGGTCTGATTGGTCTTATTTCTCTTTTTTCCTAGGTCTTAGGTTATTATATTAGAAATAACCAAAGTACAGTAAAGTTAATAGAAGAAATCAAATCTATTGCCAGCTCACCTATAGAGAAATTCTTCTTCAACGTGTCTGAAGAGGCGGTCCTCTCCACCATTGCTGGAACACTGGGGGACCGCATCTTCAGCATAGAAGGCATGTATTATTTACTTTCCCTTCCTATTGTTGCACAGGCTGTATATGTAATGTGCTTGACTCTGCACATTTATTTAGACATTCTTGTCAAAGAAACTCATCTAAGCATGTCACAACATGTCTCTCATAACTAAAGATTCTAAGAGAGATAAAAAGTTTTTTTTTTATGCACAGCCTGAACTTTGATTCTGGTATTTACACAATGTTGTCTTCCCATAAGGCACTGGGGGTGACAGCTTCAAAATGGAGATGTCCCAGGTTGGATTCAGTGCTCACTACTCCAGACAGCAGGTAGGCTACTCTACAGAGTGCTGTCTAGTGCACCTCTAAAACTTTTTCAATCAACTGTGACATTTTTACACCTCAATTCAGTTTGCAGCCTTACCAGATATCATGGCTTGGCATAGAGCAAAGTTCCCGCATGCTTAATGTTATTCTACTGTGCTGTACCTACATTTTTTGCCAGACTGCTCTTTATTTTTGTCTGTTGTTGCACTAGAATCTGTCACACATCACTTATACAGTGACCCTGTTACCCAACAGGGTCAACACTGGAAAAACACTGACGCACTGACCAGTTAGGCACCAGTGTCTGCTATCAATACAGTGAAACTCTGAGATATGACTAAATACTGTTGAGTAGTTTTTGATAGCAGCTGTCAGAATACTATACAGTATGTGACCATGGTTTGAAGACCCAGTAAAGCTATAACAGAATCTGAAAGGTCACATAAGACATTGTGAATCACAGACTTATTACAGCAGCCCTAATGTTGTACACTGCTGCTTTCTCACTAAAAAAATAGGAAGCTGCATTTCTGACACCCACTTGACCACGACTGTAAGGAAACACCTTTCCATTCTTATTTCTCTGTATGAGGAACCTCACTTCAGCAACTTGAAACCGACAACAAATGTGTAACTCAAACCAAAACTAAAACTGCTTCTGGTGTTTGACCTGTACTGTTTAAGGATGTGATGATGCTGGGAGCAGTGGGAGCCTACACCTGGAGTGGGACTGTCGTCCACCAAACAGGGTCAAACATCAACATCCTCCCTTTCTCAGCTTTTGAGGGAATACTTCAAGACAAAAATCACAGCTCATTACTGGGTAGGCGTTTAGTTATCCTCTTAATTTGTTTGACCACCTCTGTTATGTGTATTTATTCTGTTACTTAAGATCTTTACACAAAAACATACAGGAATGCACAGGAATGCAGTTACTTGGCCTGTGATACTGCAGCCATAGTGGAAGTCTTTAGGTTGTGGATAACAGTGGCTCATGGGTAGTTTTCTAAACAATTTCAACATAATTGTATATGTATGGTAAAAATCTCTGGTGTTTTGGGGGAAAACTGATCTGTTTGTCGGCTTCTCAGCCAGCCGTGCCTTTCCTCTTGTAAACTATCCTCTGAAGTAAAACATCATAGAAAAAATATTTGCATATTCTATTATGACCGTTGCTATGGCCACAATTTTAATTTTGCAGTATAGGGTACAGGATTAAATCCAGGTTTCCTTTTTTTAAATAGCTGAAATTTGGAAACCATCGGGCATTTTCACATTTACAGTACTTTTAACCTTTTTTTTTTAACCTTATCTGCCCGTTTTTGTGCTGGTTATACTGTATTACATATAGCTGAACATCTGTGGTGACTGTTAGAATAATAATAAACCTTAAAATTACTTTATTTTATACCTGTATGTAGTTGTTGTGTGTTACAAAGGCAGGTTTAAGTAAAGTGGTGGAAGAAATACTCTGATGATTCACTTAAGTAAAAGTAGCAATACTGCAGTATATATGCTATGTTACAATTAGTTCAAGTTCAAAGTGTTTATTCGTTATATGCACAGTTAGGAAACGTATTTCCCTGTACAATGAAATTCTTACTTTTGCCGTCCACATGAATGCGATAAAATACAAATGAAATATAAAGTAGATAAATAAGTAACACTAAATCAAAGGCACTTTAAGCAGCAAATGCAGCCATATAATAAAAAATATATAAGAATATAACAGAATGTATGCTGTATGGGAGCAGCATGTGCAGCAGTCAACAGTCAATGTGCAATTATGCATGTGCAAACTGAGAATGTAAACAGTACATCACATATTTCCTTGTAGTAAGCTCCTCAGCTGTTTAGGAGTCTGATGGCAGAGGGAAAGAAAGAGTTTTTCAGTCTAGTGGTCCTGCATTTAAAAGTCCAACATTCCAAATATTACCTGTAGAAGCTGAGCAGATTTTATACATATTATACTTTGGTAGAGTAATCAAAAGTACTATACATTTCATACACTGATCATAAACTCTATTTTGCAAGAGCTATGTTAAAGCCGCTGCACAGCTGTAGTCTACTGACAGATGTTTTTACTTGTGTTGCCTAATTAGACGTCTTCTCAGAGCAGTGCAGACGTGTACAAACTGCTCCCTCACAATGTTTGAGATTTTGCTGTGCCTGTTGAAGCATGACAGCGTATCCTCTCGTCATTTTTATTAGTGCACAGAGTGCAATGAAATCACAGTATTTTACCACCCAGTTCATGGCCTAGAGGTCCAACCAGCCAGGGTAACAAAAAACAGCAGTGTACTGTAGATAGGTAACTAGTAACTATGCCTTTCAAATAAATAGAGTGCAGTAAAAGATACAGTATTTCCCTTTGAAATGTGGCAAAGCGAAAGTAGCATAAGTACAAATACCTCAACATTGTTTTAAGTCCTGTACTTGAGTAAATGTGCTTAGTTACATTCCACCACTGTTTAAATAAGTAGATGTCCTAAATTCTAATGTCAGCCAGTAGTTGTCTTACTTGTGGGAATTTGCAGGTTACTCTGTCACCACACTGAGTCATGGGTCTACACTGTACTTTGTGGCTGGTGCACCTCGCTCCAACCACTCTGGGCAAGTTATTGTGTACACCATCAATGCCAGGAAACGATCTATTATCATCGATTCAGCAAGAGGCAAACAGGTAATGTCATTAGAGGATTCGCATTTTTACCTGGAACCAACTGTTTACATGTGGTAGCGTGACGAGCTAGTTTAACTCATCAGTAAACTAGCAATTGTTTTCCTAGATTGGGTCGTACTTTGGAAGCGTCCTGTGCTCCCTGGACGTGGACAGAGACGGGGTGACAGACCTTTTACTGGTTGGTGCACCCATGTTCATGAACGAGATGAAAAGAGAAGTGGGCATGGTGTACGTCTTCTCTGTCACCCAGGTAAAAATGAGCAAAATGTCACTTATGTTATGGCAACATTTTGTGGTTTGAAGTTCCAGAGCAGCAGCGAACAAGAGAGTGATTGTCATGTTTTAAGTTTTACAAAGTCTGTCAAGACTAGTTGGCACATTGCAAATCAGATAGGTATTCTCAAAGCTGATACATTTCATTTTTAAAATTCAAAACAGCTCTCAATGCATTGTAAAAAGGCCTGTCTAGTAAAGAAAAAAGTTATTTCATTATCATTATACTTGCATTTAAACTAACTTACCATGATGTTTAGCTCTTGTGGCCACATACTTTCTCTGTCTTTTCATGTGAAGGGTATCCTGAACCAGCAGGGATTCCTCAGTGGTCCATCCCCAGATGATAATGCACGTTTTGGGATGGCCATCTCTGCTGTTCCCGACCTGGACCTCGACGGTTACAGCGATGTTGTAATTGGTGCACCACTAGAAGACAACAGAAGAGGTGTCATTTACATTTACAATGGAGAGAAGAAGACACTGAAGAAAGATTTTTCACAGGTACAAAGAAAAAAGATTGTGTTTCAATGAAATCTGACAGAGGGTTCAGAAAGTCTTGTGCTTTCTGGTGCTCAATAAACAGTAGATGCAAAAAATGTTTTCATATGAGCAATGCTGTTTATCACATTTAGTTATTTTAACACTAATATAAGCAATGATGATTTGATGTCTTTTTCAGAGAATCCTTGGCTCCAAACTGGATCCTCAGCTGCAGTATTTTGGAAGGTCCCTAGATAGCGACAGTGATCTGAATGATGATACACTCCCTGACATTTCCATTGGTTCCTATGGCAAAGTGGTGCAGCTCTGGTGAGAACATAAATATAGCCTGTAATAATCAGTACATTATAAAAGGTAAATGATGTAACGATTTTCTACATCATTACTTCAAGTTCAGTCAAAGAGCACATGATTTTCAAACTGGCAAGGCTGATGATATTTTGAAATTGTTCCTCTTTTTCAGGTCCCGAGGTGTGGCGTCTGTGGCAGCTAAAGCTTCTTTCAACCCCGATAAAATTAACATTTTAAGCAAAGACTGTGACATTAATGGGCGCAAGCATTCATGCTTCAATACCAACCTTTGTTTCAGTGCTTCGTTCAGGCCTACAAAGCCTGTTGGACCCATTGGTAAGTCTGATGACCTGTTAGGCTTCTTGACAATGTGCACTGTAGATTCATTTTATTTCAAGTTATCTAGCATTTTGAGAAATAAGCTTATCTGCTTTATCTGCTAGCCTGGCTCTGTCTAAAGGTAAATATGCCTACCAGCACATCTAAAGCTCGGTATATAAATGCCAAGTTGCATTTTACTGGTAGATGTAACAGAGCCAGAGTAAGGGTGTACCCATCATCGCCTCCTCACTGCTGAATGTAGCCTTATTCTAACTGTACTTACATGAGAGCGGTATCAATGTTCCCAGCAAGAGAGTGAAATTGGCACGTTTCCCAACACATTTCTCAACAAAAATAAGTGATCGGAGGTGTGAGTCACTGTTTTCCGGAACTTCTTTCAGATATATCCTACACTTTAACTCTGGACGCTGACTTGCAAGCTTCACGAGTAACATCAAGAGGAATGTTTACAAAAAACAATGAACGCTTCCTCACAGAAAAGGCCAAAATATCTTCTGCACCCCTATGTCGAGACTATGAGGTTTACGTTCAGGTAATGGACAAAAGCCATCTGTCTTGTTTCTGGATGATTCAGTGATGTGCTGTAATCAAAGAGCATCAATGACTGTTTTTATGTGAGCACCTTGATGGGATAAGGGCTGTAGAGATGTTTGTTCTTGTTCCTCCAAGTGTTACAAACCCACCATGCAAAGCACCATTCCAAAGCCACCAATCCCAGACAAGGCACAGCACATGTACATTTGTGTACACAGGGCACATAAAGCACGGGTTCTTCAGGGATTGCAACACCAAGATGTGCACAGAGTATTTTGAATATTATCTCCTGATTTGATTTTCTGGTTTCTTCAACAGGAGACGCCAGACTTTGTCAATTCTCTCAGTCTGAAAGTAGAAATCGAGCAGCAGGACGCAGACGCCAATCCCATCCTTGATGTGTTTTCTCCAAGTGCCTCAGAGTTCTTTGTAAGTGAATCCGTGTTCATTGATTTTTAACCTTTGATATTCAAAGGCCTACAGGAAATAGATCAGGTGGCAGAAGACTTTAAGCGTAGTTACTTTTCAGAGATGTTTGTACCTCATTTAAAATGACGGTGTGTTTCAGTAAGTCACAAGAGTTTTATAGATTTAAACACAGTGTTTCCCAACAACAAGATTAAAGTTTATCAGTGGAGTAAAAGTATATAATGTATGTCATGTTTATGTTCAGTTCTGTAGAGATTATAGGAGAATAGGCAGCATTTGAAAAATTGCTTTTGAAGAATAAAACAGCGTCCTGTACTGAATTTACTGGCCTGCTGATCTTTCAGATCCCCTTCACAAAAGACTGTGGCTCTGATGAAGTGTGTATCAGTGATCTGGTGCTAAGTGTGAACACAGACACAGATGTGCCCAGGTGAGAATGACCTGCTGCAAGTATACAGCACTGAGTGTAACGTGCACCTGTTGTCCATTACAAGTACAGCAGACGGTATCAGATGTATAGGTTTGAAGCTCTTGTTGTCCATTACAAGGACAGCAGACTGTATCAGATGTATAGGTTTGAAGCTCTTAACACATTTATTATACTTGTACTGTAGCACACATTTATACTTGGTCCATAAAATAGTTGGGTCAGACTTATGAACTTGGAAAAACAAGTCTGAGTGATATGTGCTCAGTAAATAAACACAGATAAATGGGCATGAACAACTTTACAGAGACTGTACAATACATTTTAGAGTACTTTTAGAGATATTGTATTGTGCATTTTAAGGTGGAGTTAGTTGTTTATCTCGGTAACTTTAGTTTTAGTTATTGTACAGTGTGCTTCTCCTGTATTGTTCAGACAAAAGGAGAAAGATAAACAGTGTAAGTAAATTAACCAGAGCTCACAGGAGGCCCCAGCTTTAACCATCCCCTCTTATTCCTGTCCCCCTGCTCTCTTAAATAACTTCTGTTCTTGTGTTGCAGCTCAGCTCCTGTTCGGGTCAGCGCAAATAACCGAGAACTGAAATTTGAAGTTGCTGTGAGGAACAAAAAGGAGAACGCATACAACACTCAGATCATGGCCACGTACTCCAGCAACCTCTACTACTCCTCCGTCTTTCCTCCGGTGAGTGAGAGAAGCTTAAGTGAAAGCACTTTACGTTGACATGATGCTACTGTGGAAAAATCCTACACTATTCCTTGATAACACTTTTTAGACAAATGTTTCAACAAAATGGTCCCCAAGTCACACATGCATCATCAATAAATCAAACACATTTTATGTAATTAATCTAAACAGCTTTTTGACATTGACTGAAACAGTTAATTAGAAAAAATAAGTGTAAAGTGTGCTGGTGAATAGTTGTTTGAATATTGTGTAAAAAGTTTTCAGCCTTATGGTGATAAATTGTTAGTGTAACAAGGCAGTTATGTGCTATTCTGAACTCTAAATTCACAGACAGAGGGAGTCAAATGCACCTCAGCACAAACACAAACTGTCACTTGCCAAGTGGGATACCCAGCATTAAAAAAAGACGAAGAGGTGGGTACAAAAAAAAATAAAAATCTTCTTCTTGTGATCCATTTTGAACTGAGTTTACTCATTTCTTTGTTTGACTAGCCACAGTAGGTAATGCAAAACATGTCATTTCATTACAGGTGAAGTTTAAGATAAACTTTGAATACAGTCTGGATCAGTTGCAAAACCGAGCTGAGGTGAAATTTGAGGCCAAGAGGTACGCTGGATTAATTAGAAATTCAATGAAAAATAATGACTCTTAATTAAACGTATTGGCATGTCATAATGTCCTATACCTTTTTCTTTTTACAGTGATAGTAAAGAAGAAACACCAGCAGACAATAATGTGGACATATCGATTCCTATTCAGTATGATTCAGGGATTGTTTTATCCTGGTGATTTTACTTTTTGTTGCCTTAACACAATTTTCTCTACGTTATGCAGTGTGTGAGTGACAGATGATGACAGAGAAATGCTTTAAAGTGTTACTCTTTATTTTGTCTTTGTCCTAGGCAGTCCAATATCAACTTCTATGTGGCAGACGCTGCCACTCCAGTAGTAACAACAGTTAAAACTCTAGATGACATCGGCCCAGAGTTTAACTTCACAGTCAAGGTGTGATAAATGAATCAGTCTCAACATATCACTGTTTCATTTCTCATTATTTTAAAATATATTTATTAAAACAAATTGTATGTAAAGGTTTCAACAGGTCGCTTCCCTGTCAGCCTCCTCTATCTGACTATTGCTCTGCCAATGACCACTAAAGGGGGAAATCAGCTCCTCTATGTTACCAACGTGGACACACAAGCAGTGAGTACTGGAACCCAATATCAGCAGCTTAAAAGAATTTTAAAGCTGTTTTACCTCATACATACCCTTGTGGACCAACAATTCTTTCCATATATTCAATGTTGAAAAGAGTTGGTGGTGATCTAACGATAACCAAAAGTTTGATTGTTACCAAACTGCTTCATAGCCCTTATACATTTGTATTTCCTAGGTCAGACAGCTTCAACTTTTACTTAATTTGGAGGGCGATATCTGTTGAATAAATGACCGACATTAAGGCTTTTCCACCTGCAGGGAGGTCCTGTCAGCTGTGATACCAGCAACCTGGTTGATCCTCTGAAGATTGGTGTGAAGAGCTACACAGCAGCCTTTTCTGAGGAGAGCCTCAGAGGCCTGGAGACACTAGTCAGCCACTTTTTTATACTTTACTATAGAATTTTTAAACCAGTGATCCAAATACACACAACACTTTGAGTCATTTGAAATTGTGGTTGTGCAATATTTTGAGTTTTGTATTGATTTCCTTTTGTTTCTTTGTTGTTTTTTTTAACTGACAGGACTGTAAAAGTGTAAAATGCGAGTACATAAAATGCAAACTCAAAGACACTAAAGTTAAGACAGACTACTTTGTGAAAGTTAAAACGAGGATCTGGAGTGGCACATTTCTATCAGTGAGTATATTACATAATGAATGTTATAATAATGGTTTTGTCTGCTTTTATTAACACAGATGTTCTTATTTCTGATTAATGAATACATGTTGATGCTCTCATTTGTACCTTTTTTCACGATAGGCCACTTTTCAGACCACTGAGCTGACCACCATTGTTGATGTTGAGACCTACAACCCCGATCTGCTCATTATCAACCTCAAACAACTACCAGTAAGACACAAAGAAATGAACACATTTTATCTATAAGTGAGAAACATATTGAAGTATTTTAAGTACTATATTCTCATATTGCAACACCATGAGTCTGTTTCTGTATGTAAAAACTTTTTCCCAAAGCATAATAAATGTCATGTTAGAGTATCTGCCCTCGTAAAAAGTGATTCTAATATTGTCTTGCAAAGTACAAAATAAAAAACATGATGGTTAACATGAAGTGTCTGAGTGAGGCAGACCTTGTAAAGAGCTCTCCTGTCCTCCTTCCCCCAGGTGGTGGTGACAGTCAGTAAACCTGGAGAGAAAGCTGATGTTCCAGTGGGAGTGATAGTTGGCAGCATCTTTGCTGGACTGCTGCTGTTGGCTCTGGCTGTTGGACTGCTGTGGAAAGTAAGTGTCTGTCTACGTTGTTGTGGCAGTAATTTCAACATAAAGTGGAACATCAGTAAATCATTTACTGCATACTGTAAAGCTTATGTATGTCCAATGAATATTTCACCTCTGCCATGGTGAGAAAAGGAGAATGAACTTGATCTGTGTTTTTTATAGTCAAAAAAAAATTGCTGTTAATGCATTGGCATATATACAATGGACGTGGCGTCACAACTTCCCTCCACTATGTAAAAGTGAAGCCAACATATCTTGAATACAACTGCTAGCTTACTTTTCTGCAACCAGATTCTGTGCAGTAACGACCAGAAGTGGAGTGATAGCATCGGGCCAGTAATCAAAGCTGTCAAATCAACCAAAATACGCCCCTTTATATTTCATCAAATTACTTATTAAAAATAAACTTACCAGAAAAATGATCATTTGTACACAAATCAACATGATAATATCTACAAAAAAACAAACAAACATATCACAGAAATCACCTCTGGGAAATATCTATTTGAATTGTACTTTGAGTTTTTAGTTTGGCTCAACTGCAGTCAGCCACCAGGGGGCGATCGAGTCACAATGGCCTCACTTTGGAAGCTGTCAGTCTGTCCATCGTTTTTAGTCAATGTTGTCATCAGTCAGTATATTTGTCGTATCAGCCTGGATTTAAGAAAAGCTATGTAAGGCCATTACACTAGTGTATGATGGGTATATTTTTACACAAACTGACAACATATAGACTACGGACGTGTCTAATAAAATGTGTGTACATTTTTATTGATTCAGTTTTTTTGTATGAAACTATTGTTGATTATAATAGAACTGTGTCTTAATGTGATCTGTGCACTTTCTAGTTTGGGTTTTTCAAAAGAAAGTACCAGCAGCTTCAGAAGGAGGCCGCTGAAGACGAGCACAGACGTGCACCCACAGATGAAGTGCTGTGAAGTGAAACCTGCAGTCTTCTCCCTCCACTGGATCGTTTCCAGTGTGGATACTGGTACGTCTTACTGGTTCTTGTAAAGTGCAAATGGACCATAGCTTAGTCACTGGAAACTGGGAATTTTAATAAAGAAAGGAAGCTGTTAATTTTAAGGATAAGACGGATTTAATCCTCTGTCCATTTTAGAGAGGATTATTGTGCTGTACAGAGGGTTTTTTCTTTGTTTACTGTATGTTGATCATTTCCTGCTATGCACTGACTTTGAATAAATGTAAAAATGGTATTTTTTCCAAACATGGCAGAACCATACATAGTGTTTTTAGACCTTTATTTATTTGGATGCATCATTGTAAAGGCACTCCATTTATGCATTGTGATTGGGTTTGAGAAATTCTAGGCAACATGATTGAAAATAATGGTTTCAATCAAAAGACAAAGTCTTGTACCTCTGAATATGAATATTTAGCACACACACACACACACACTATAGGCAGTCTGTAGTATAAACTGCCTTGAGAACCCCTGTCACCTCTGGCACTCGGGCCTTAGTAGTGTAAATGCAAAAAAGGAACGTTAACTCTCCTGGAAATGGTGAAATGTGTAATTACTTTATTTCTTTGTGTTTGTAATGTAAAAATTCTAAGCCAAAATGATGATCTTTCACATTGGGTTTTGTATATGAAATGTTTAGAGGCAACGTGTATTTATGCCTCTATCTCACTGATATTTTTGTATTGATATTTTTATGTGGCACAACTTGTTGGATGTAAATAATTTTGTAACATTTTGTTTAAAGTTGCAAATTGTTTAATTATTTAATAATCTGATTACTTGCATTTTCTTGATCATTGATTAATGGCTTTTTGTATTAAATTTCAGAAATTAGTTTTTTAAAAGTTCCTATCACCGTTTCCCAAGTTCGATGTACTGGCACAGCTTTGCCACTAGATGGCAGCATGAGATCGATGACATGTTGGCACAGGTCATGATTTTGTAACTACTCACTAATACTTGATGGCCTCAGCACTCCATGCCACTATCAATCAATCATGATTTATGACCTGGTTTTGACTGTGTTTCTCGTGTCCTTTCTTATCTTGCCCCATTTGCTTTCCTCCCCTTTCACTGGAACAACTCCAGAAAACTTGACCTTTCTAGGAACCCTACTTGGACTGCTTCCTTTTAAACGTCAGTGCAGTTGAAGTTTTCCCTCAAACTCAATTAATTTCCTCTCCCATTTTTGACTTTCATGTCGTTCCACTGTTCGGTTAGTCTATCCCTCAACTGTTTTGGAATGTGTTTCTAAATGTTTTCCTTTTGGACCGGCCAACTCAAGCACCCAGCAGAGTGTTGAGCATTTATTTCTTTGGATCTGGCAAAGTCGAATATGCTATCGAACTCTAATAAGTAGCATATTTTTTGGAAGCCTGGACTGAAGCCTTCCTTGTTGGAGGGGAAACATGGGCGTTTATAAATGATTGAACTGCTTTGTTTCACAGTTACTCATGCACTACGTTGTTGTGAAATAGCCTTCAGATCTATGTATATGTTTGCAGTGAGCAATGTGGAAATAGCAGATGAAATGAGATACAGTAGAAGTGTTTGAACACCTTTATAAATTCATCCCTCTGGCATTTCCTGCAAATGACTGACAGTGCAAACAAGTGACCCATGCCACAATGGCAAGATTGCTCACAAATCACTAGTGTTTTTGTGAATATTAATAACAAAAGTGATGTCATAGCAAATCATTTAGTAAGTGCTGGTCTTATTTTGCACTTGTGGACATTTAGCATAATCTAAATCTTAACTGTAATCTGTACTCTTTCATCATAACTACTTTTAGGCTTTTGAAAAGACTTTTAAGAGGGTTGTCATCAACTTGTCAAATTACAAATGAGCTTGCATGGTGGAGGCCAGGTGGTGATTTTTTTTCCATTTATTTCACTTGATAGTAAAAACATGTTTCAAAGAGATAAACATACAGCCACAGAATATTGCGGCCTAAATCTTTGGCTTTTTAAATACAAAACATTCTCTGGTAAATTAAACAATATATCCTCCACTGCGTTAGAAGTGTTTGCACCCAGTCAGTACTCTAGTAAAATCTCACAGCCCGGACCTGTTTGAGCTACTTCAGCTCGGTATCTGGGACCAGGAGCTCTGTTGTCTCTGCTGTTGCAGTTAATGGTTTTACTACAACAGCCAGTACTTGTAGACATTTAGCAGTTGGTTGATACAGCAGGGACGTATTCTGGAAGCGTTAGCTCTTCAAATTTATTGATCTCACAAATCACACACTCCAGACACTGAATGATTTGCCAAACATAACACCAGCGAACGGTTACAGATTTGTCAAAAGACGTCATTGTTTCGTAAAAGTTTTAATACTGTGATCGTTCCAAAACAAGTGACATAAAAACTTCCAATTGGTTTGTTTAAAATTAAATTTGTTTATTTGACAGACATTCAGTGATTGTGAAATGAGTCAGATTTATGATTCACTAGAAGTGATGCACGGGCAACGTGGAAAAGAGTTGGTCAGTAAGGAACCGAATAGTTTAGCTTGAAAAAAAATGTACAAAAGAATTTCTAAAAGAGTAAACCTCCTGAAGTGTAGTATTTAATTATGGGTCTGGTATAAATGTGGCCTTAGAACAAGTCATTTTTAACTATAAAGAATATAGACACCTTGTTTGGCTTTCAGCACAAGAAGGAAGTAGAGATGTTAACTTCTTCAGGAATGATGTTTGAAATATTTGGGCTTAATCCAAATATATAAGATGGTATTTATTCAGATTGTCACCACAAGCTCTAAATCACTTTAATAAGCATTTTCTGCAGTAGTCACTCAACACAAACCTTTGGAAGTGCAGTTTATGGTGACTCTTAGAAACCAGCTTGAAAGGAAGGCATAAGAAGATAATTGCCAGATGATCAGAAATGGCTGGAGATAACGGCCAACGTCTTATAGTTACACGTTCCAGTTATCAATGGATGTTGATCCTTCATTTTGAGTCTCCCAGTTACTTACTCTTTCTGATCATAATTTAAAGTAGGTAATATGAGATCTGCTGGGTTCTGTCAGCAACAGATGTGATGTTTCTTCTGCTTATGGAGCCTATATCTGCTTGGCTTACGTGGTGCCTACTGCAGCATGGCTCCAGCACAATGGACACATCACAGATAAGACCACAAGAACCACTCTTTTGCACTAAAACTCTAGGTCTGTCTTAGATGACAGAAGATGTGTGGTCTAAGTCTTTTTCATACCATAGTAAAGTCTGTGTATGTTACTGCAGAAATGCTTTTTTTTGTAAAAATATCTTTTCCCCGTTTCGCTCCTTAACCAAAGTTAATCCTTACTTCTGAAATGAAACTGCTCTAACAAGAATAGTAAGCTAAACGTTAGGTGGATACAACACAGAGCTAAAATGAGTAATAAAACGGGATTAGTAATGTTTTATGTTTATGCTGTTATAGATTGATATCCTGCAGCAAAGCATGCTGTTTCAGCACAGCAGCACGTTCAGCTCTGAGAGTTTTGTTTGCACGTATTACAGCAGCATGTTGTAGGTATTTCACACTGGAATTAAAAAAGGATGGCTCTGTCTTCTGTCTGGCCGACAGATAATAAACTCCCAGGTGTCTGATTCGCGGAGCAGACACTGCTCTTTGCTCTTGAGAGCTGTAATCAGAGTTCCGCTGAAGAGGTCGCGCAAGGACTTCTGAAGGAGCTCAGCCTGTGCGTCTCTCTCTCTCTCTCTTTCTCTCTGTATGTGTGTGTGTGTGTGTGTGTGTGTGTGTTTCATTCAATGAAACGCAACACCCCTCTTCTCTGTCTGAAGCCTCTTCGGAAACAGGTTTGATTATATTTAAAAGCTTGACCCGGGAGAGAAACCCAAACAACTGTCTGTTCTAATATTAGCAGTGCGGCTGCGGACTACTATGAATTCTATTATTGTCTGTGCTCGGGTGTATTCCAAAGGCAACTCTGCTCAAAAGATTTACACTTTGTCTGCAGTTGGTGGAAAAATATCAGTTACTGCCAAGTAGTACTCCTAATTTTAAGGACTGATGGTGTGCCCGGGTAGGTATGTTGGCTGTAGGCCTGTTTGTTTATATAGTAATCGAGATATTGCATACAGTTGTATACAGTAATAAAGACTGAAGTGGTCTCAATAAAGATATCAGTGCCCTTTATTATTATTGTTATTATTATTAACCTCTAGAGTCCCTGCGTCCTCATATGAGGACCGCACAGCTTGGGTTTCCAAAGCTCAGGACTCTAGAGGTTATATCGTGTTGCCCACCCAAGACGTGCGTAAAAACGAGACGTCCGCCCCACACTGATATAAAAGTAAAATGATTAAAACTATACATTCATAAGTGTATCCTCCATCCAAACCAAATTCATATCAAGTGGCACAGTTTATCTGATGTGCCCTGATCGCTTCTGTATGACTTCAAAGCCCTATAATTCAATTCAAATTTAGACATTTTTATATTATTTCATTGTTGCGGCAAGAGAAAGTTGCCGCAGTTAACGATGTCACCTGATTGGGATTGAAAGAACTTTGGTAAGAAAAAAAAAAGTCCCCACCCCCACAGAAGAGGAGACCGCCCACCAAAGACAGTCAACTCGAGACCCCTTATAGATTTAAAAAGAGAGGCTGCATTCTCAGACTGACATTTATTCAACGCTGCCACCTGAAGCAGATTACTTTTGCGCTGCCTGTGTCAAATACGTCGTTCACTTTGCCTCTCCATCATGTTTAGGATGCTGAAACACCACCTTCACCCGCGCATTTTTCTCATGTCCATATGGCTTTGTCACCTCATGGAACATCAAAAAGTTCAAGGTAAGCTCTCTTGATCATTTTTTAAAAATTCTTTCTGTTTCGAAAAACTTCGACTGCTGTGAGCCACAAAACGAGCGCGAGTGCTGGGATACTTGCTGCAACCGAGAAACTTTTCAGAGTGACTTTCTTTTTCCCCCATTGATAAAACTCTACATCAGACGGTGCGTGCGTAAAGCGTCCTTAAAGCAGGTGCTATATTGGACATTTCAAAGTGAGACTATATGGCAAGTTTTGCAGCTCCTCGCCAGGCGCACGCACTTAATCCGCCGCGCCGCGTTGGTGGGAGCCTTAGCTTTCTGTAATACCTGAGCCTATTAGAATACGTTTGTATGTGCGTTCCGTATCCTACGATATTGTCGTCAAAACTGTAACAAACTTCAGAATACTCACTAGGAGTTTATGGGCGTGTTACTTGTGTATCTTCCGAACGCACCTTTTAAGAATTATGTGCCTTTTTCAGCAATTTTATGTCCTTAGTAATTACAGGAAAATTAAAACTAGGGACTTTTGCACTGTATCTTTTTTGTTCGACAGCAAATAGATCCGTTCTCAGTTCAAGACATACACCAGTTCAACACTTAATGTCATGTGTCGGTTTTGGCACTCTGTTGTTGTCTGGGATAACACTTCTACTTTATTATTATTTATATCTTTGAAATATACTTTAATGAACGTGGTGAGTACATGTCTGGGATATTGTTATGAGGCGTTGAAGACGCTGGAGCTTAGCCTGGTTACCTAAAGACCGCGGTTTTCTGAAGGAGATTGGCTGCTATTTCACACTGTCTAGACGTTCCACTTTCTGTCCAGTGATAACAAGGAGGCTCCGAGAATAAAGGACCCCCACCCCCCCACCCCAAAGATTCTTTTTACTTTTTTGGTTCTTGGCTGCTTTGTAGGGGCTGTCAATCACAGATGGGATAGGCATGTGTTAACAGTCTCGCAAGAAATCAGACAAAATACCGGGGGGCGAAAGGGGAGGGAGGGAGCGTCTTGGATAATATGGGCTGCGTGTATGTGTAGTGCGTCTGGGTCAGCAGATTTAGACGTTCAGCATACGAGATTCAAGTCTTTTTTTGTTTATGTTTACAGCTGGGAACTGCTGGTTGCAGCAAGGTAAGAACGGGAGGTGCCAGGTACTCTATATGCCCAGGATGAGCAGAGAGGAGTGCTGTCGGAGTGGAAGACTGGGGACGTCCTGGACCGAGGAGGACGTCCCCAACAGCACGCTCTTTAGGTGGATGATCTTCAATGGCGGAGCCCCAAATTGCATACCTTGCAAAGGTGGAGGTGCACTCATTTTCCTTTGTTTTCTCATAACACTAATCCTCAGTCATTTCGTTTAATAAACCATGTGCGGTGATCTAATTTACGCATACCGAGGTGCGTAAAGGTTTCCTTTAGTCTGTACTTCATGTGTCTGAGTAATTTTACGCACACGGCCCAAATCTCAATTAGCATCAAATAACACAGCCCTTTTATTTTAGAAACCTGTGACAATGTTGACTGTGGGCTTGGAAAGAGGTGCAAGATGAACAGAAGAAGTAAGCCGCGCTGCGTGTGCGCACCAGACTGCTCCAACATCACTTGGAAAGGACCGGTATGCGGCTCAGATGGAAAGACCTACAAAGACGAATGCGCACTGTTGAAGGCTAAATGTAAAGGCCATCCCGACTTGGACGTGCAGTACCAGGGAAAGTGCAAGAGTAAGACATTATCTTTAATGTAGCCCTCTTATGAGACTCTAGATATCTCAGGGCTCCGTGTGCCATGAATCCAGTGGTTTGTTATTATTTTTCTTGTATTTATGTACCATGTTCATAAAAACTTTGAATTTCTTTGTCTCCACAGAAACATGCCGTGACGTCTTGTGCCCCGGCAGCTCCACATGCGTGGTGGACCAGACAAATAGCGCATATTGTGTGACGTGTAATCGGATTTGCCCAGAGGTGACGTCGCCTGAGCAATACCTGTGTGGAAACGACGGGATCGTCTATGCCAGCGCGTGTCACCTGAGAAGAGCTACGTGTCTCCTCGGCAGATCTATTGGAGTGGCATATGAGGGAAAATGCATCAGTAAGTCTGCAATTAGACAAGTGAGAGCGTGATACTTTACTCCCTGAGAGCACCTCCAGCCATTGGCTTCGGATATTGTTTAAATGCGTTTTCTTCCTCTCCAGCTCTGCAGTCATTTACTGTTCATTTTTGCCAACATTCCACTGAGGAGGGGGTTCTCAGAGAAAGTGTGTGTAGTTGCTTGTGTTTGCTCAAGAA